TGCGACCGAGGAAAACAGCAGATGTTTCTGTGCATTATTAAAACCCAAAATGATGACCTTCAAACAGCTTATTACAGCAAAATTAGATTTCTTCTGCAGATGCTGCTTTTGGCTTTACTCATCTAGTAGTAAAACTTTTAAAAAAAACTTCACCTTTGTATAGCATTGTGCAAGGCTTAGACCCGAGTATTGTAACTGATAATCTTATCATCGCTATCACAATTAACAGAGTTGTTTTATCAGACTGAAATTTTCATTTGCTATTATAGCAATAGCACAGCATTTAGAGTACATGTCTGTGTTTACTTGCATAAATATATATATATGAATATATACAGGGAATAAGAAAAGCATGTGATATTTTACATATAATATATATGTACGATATATATATAAAAAATACACTAATATACTCCTCCTGTGTATTTCAAGAATATGTGCAACTGTATTTATATGTATCTGTACTTTTGTGCGTATGTACCTGTACACATACGCCCAAAAATATATCACATACATGTTTGTAGTAAGATAAATATAGCTAGAGGATCGCACAGTGTCGTAACTGAAATGCCTCAAGGAAGGTGGATGAAGTAAATGATAAACAGAAGTTTGGCCCAAATGTCTGATGATCCTAGCCTCTGGTACAAGAAGAGCCTCTAGAGAGTAAGGTAGTAACATGTAGTGAGATAGTGCCATGTGTGATTTGCCCAGGAAGAGTTTGTGTGTGTGTGTGTGTGTGCATCCACTTCTGTGTGAGTACTCTCTACTGCTAAAACTTATGAACTACCGCTTGCTTTAGTAGCTTTATTAATCACCTGAAGTGGATTAGGAATCAATGACTTCTAAATGGAGGGCGTGGGATTTTCTGGAGAACGCAGCAGTACACCCCCGTCAGAGATCAACTGAAACTTCATTTTGCTTCCTTCCCTGCGCCCGGCATTACAGGGAGTGCTTTTGAAAGAGTCGCCCTACGCAGCTCTCCCTGCCGAAGCTCCCGTCAAGGGCCCGTCGCTGCCGCAAGCAGACAGGTCAGTGAAGCAGAAGCAAGAGCTATGCTTCACGCTCACAGAGCTGTACCTCTTCACAGCACTGTAACAAAGCTATTTAAGCTTTGTCGCTCATAACTGAGGATGGCTTCAGATGGCACAGCTGCATCGTCTTTACACTGTAAAATCATTGTTCGGCTGTGTGAACGCTTGCCTCCTCCCCTGACCAGGGAAAAGGAGGGACGGACAGGAATCCCCCACAAACCAACCTTGGTTCATTAAGGGTGAGGAGAGCTCAGGGCTCATTAGCAGCCTTGGGAACCAAGCGTGCTTGAACCTTCTGTACTTCATGACAATTAGTGTGGGGAGCGCAGCGGCAGTGACAGGAATGCTACCTATAACCCCAGTATGAACCACAGCAAAAAGGAAAGTTCAGCAAACAGAGGCAAGGTTCAGACTGCCCATCGGTATTTAGTCCTCCTTGCTCTGTGGGAAGAGCAGCAAGGCGTCTATTCCAGAGGTATGCTGAGAAATTAGGATTCTTTTACTCTGCCAAGAAATCTCAGCATTTAAAAAATGCATTGACCCCATCACAAATTTGCTTTCCTGTATCTTCTGTGATGCTGATTTTACTTGAAATAAAGTTCCGTTTGCCAAAGACTAATTCATTTATAACTATCCATCAGCTGCCATAATCGCATGGTGCATCTGGTCAAAATTAAAGGCCTGGCAATTTGATATAAGCAGGAAGACAACTCCCCTCCTCTCTCCTCAGCCATAGTCACACAGCACAGAAGAGATGAAAGCCTTTTCTGCAAACGAAGACCAGTTTGTCTTTCCTCCTCTTCACTCTCTGTATCACAGAAGTCCCAGAAGATCAAAATCTCATTCATATTGTTTGAATCCCTTCCACACCACAACTGTGTACCTCATCATCCACTTATCCTGCAGGCTGAATGCTGCGCTGGAAATGGGAGAAGGGGATTTGGGGTTGGCAGGAGACAATGTTTTAAAAAGGCAAACTAATCATTGCTCATCTATTGGCAGTCCAGTGAAAACCTGCCAACCTCTCGGGTTTGTTTCTTAGGTCCGTGTTTGGAATACAGGGCTTTCTTACGTGCTATCCTTTCTGTACAAAATCCCTCCTGCTCCTTCATGTGCCAAACAGTTTCATTCATTCAGTTTCCGTCTTAAAGCACCTTTTTTAACCAAAGGCTTTTTTATGGTACTTGTATAAAAGAGAGGTACAGATAAACAGATAAAAGCAGCAGAAAAACATTTGCATCACTGCGAAAAGATGTTTGAATCACCGTCATGGCTCTACGTAAATACCACCGTCTCAACTGATGACTAATTCTGATCTATCTGACCTGAATAAGCAGCAGCTCAGCCCTGACTAACGCTATTCAGTATGAGCAAGGGCGCCAAAATCTGATCTTAGACTGTAAACGTCTTGGAATAAGAGCCTATCTTCCAAGGTAATCAAAGCTGAGCACGCTGATAGAAACCAAAAAACCATTTCCATGTTTTCTTTTGCAGTTGCCAGTAAGTCAAAACACACTGCATCTGAGACTGAATAATGAATCCTTTAAGAGGCACTGAAGAGGGGCTGCATTTTCTGGGCAATCCAATGATTACTCTTTAATTGACTGCAATTCTGCTTTCACTTTTAGGTTGGTGCCTGAAGTACACAGCGTGCCGCTGATCCAGCTACACAATCTTTCAAACTCACTGGCCCTTGCATTAAGGTTTCATATTCAGTAATTTTTTTTCTTGAGAGTGGTGGAGAATCCATAGTTACAGTAAACTGGAAGATTAGGCAGAAACTCAATACGCATGGTTTATATAGGCACATGGTTGTATTCCATATTCAACATGGCCCATAAATTGAAAGCCACATAGACAGCCTCCAGACACAGAAAGGAAAGAAGGAATTTTGAGTACATAATTTCATATTTGCAAAAATACGGAATTACTGGCAGAAAATTATACTATTACCAAAATGTCATTGAAATGAGAAGTACTATTTTTCTACCCACAAGAGGTAATTTTACGAACAGATATCAAAGTAAAAGTGATTGTCAAAAGACAAGTGTTATTTAAAAATCAAAATTATACTTAAGTAACTTTGGATTTGTGACGTCTCCCAGCACATAACGATTAGTTATGCATTATGTGGTAAGCAATGCAGTAAATGAAATCCTGATCTCAATGTAGTTCATGGCAAGACTTCTACTAACCCTAGTGGAATTAGCATCTTTGTACCTCGTTTTAAGCACGACATACTTTGCAGGTGGCATTAATGCCTTCAGTTGCACAGAAGTGCACCCAAAACTTTTCAGAAGTGAAGAGACACGAGAGAGATTAAAACCAAAGCTGAACTAGATAAATTTCAATATGTTAAGTACCAGTAGAGCTGAATAGACAAAAAAATCTGTCAAGCTGTTTCATAACTGGATGCAATGCTATGCTGCGAAAATGCTGTATTATACCTTCCATTTGTTTTATACTTGAAACATTATGGATCAGAGATACTACCAAAGTCCAGAAAACTGTTACCACTGATCTCAATGAGACCCTAGCAATCAAAGCCCAAAAACGTATTTCCTGAGGAGGACATAAAAGAGGCAGTTCATCACTCTTTGAAACATTACTGTTTATAGGAAAATCCGGTGATTTGGTGGCCCTGAAATCAGCCCAGGGATGACTGAAGGCTGACTCCTGTTTTTTCACTGCTGGGAGTGCCGCTGTTATGGATGATCCCTACACTTTAAGTACATAAAGCAGTATATAGAAGCAACAGGATAAAAATACCAGAAAGTGTTGGTGGGGGAAGACTTCCATGAACCAGAACTGTAAGCACTTCCTCACCGGAAGCAACACATTTCTATTTTCTGAAGAAACCGCGTGCCATTAGAAAGATATTGGAAATCACACATTGCTACGTGGAGCTGTTCTCACAGCAAATACCCCTATATGGCTCCTGTACGCAGGCTAGCATTCTTTCTGCACCCAAACGACAATCAGAAAATCACAATTAATGTCCAAAACGACTACCCTGATAACCTCCTTGGGAAAAAAACAAACATCCAGCAGTAATACCATAGGGCCTGGTGATGCCACAGTAACAAAATACTTCAAGAAGGCTAACAGCATTCTTTAAAATTGGATCTGGATAGGACATTTCAGCCTAACTAGTAATATTCCCCAGAGAGGCGACTGGTGACCTGACATGGTCTTTACATTTCTCTGTTTCTCATTGGTGTTAACTAGATGATCAATAATATTGGTAATTATTTACATTTGTTGTATTAACAAAGTAACTATAGCGTGATATTGCCAAAGAACATTCTTCACCTTAATTCAGTACATTCAGGCCAGAACATGAGATTTTTGAAGTGTTAACGTAATGTCTGAGGTAAAATGCCTAAAATATAAAACTACACTTAAAAATGAATGTATCAAAAATTCCAGTAAACTGAGGTCACTTTTTGCCAGTAAAAGACTACAGAATTCTCCCCACGCAGAATAAGTCACTAGCTATTAGAACAAAGTTAGCAGGCAATGTTTTAGCGTGCCACGTGTTGCCTCCTGCTCCTTTTCTATTCCAGCGGCTCCTACAACCTTCAGGAAAGGTGAGAAGACAGTCTACCAGGAGTGGAAAAGTGGTGGAAGAGGATGTCCTACGAAGCTTTGCTTTCCACTCTAGTAAAGGTGGAGCTCATAGTATGAATTAAAGATGTTTCAATGAACTTTT